ACTCACATTCTTCATAATCAGGACCATTTTAGTTTCCTGGTTGAACATGTGTGTACAGTAGTCTTGGGACATTCCTCCTCCTACATCTGCTTCCTCCTTCCTCCCCATCTCTGTCCCAGAATCACACCTGTGCCAGGAGGCAGAGCATGCCTTGCAGTCTCTGGACGCAAGATGCAGGAGCAGTAGCTCAGGGACCACTGCACTTCTTATCTTCAGAGCAGTGATTTTGAGACTGGAGTCAGACTGAAGAATAACGAAGACTTTACTTAAAACTTAAATCTAGACACATTGCTTTGAAAGAAATATTTAGATAATGTCAGTTTAATGTTTACCGTTAAGGCCTGAATGATTTGCTCTTGACTTTCTAATGAAGACTTAACTTTTCTTATTCCTTTGAACGACAGGGCTCCAAAAACTATTAAAACCACATCAGTGAGCCACACTGTTGCACTGGGTGACATTGTTCTTCATTACCATGAACATAGTCATTGTAGATTATTTAGAGTCAATCCCATATACATTGTCTTGATGCCATACTCAATAGTGCACCAAATCAGCATCGGAAAATAGTCCCCAACAAACATACAATTTGTTGTTTTTATTCACTGCTATCCTGCTTGAGTAACGTTTCCTAAAAACTACAGTTTTCAGCAGAAAGCAAGGATATAGCTAGCCTTATCTTTAGCATCAGTATGCAGTTTCTTATCTAATAACTAGCAAAATGACAGTAACCCATGGTACTTTGGCCTATGATAGGCATAAGTGCTGAACTCACTTTAACTGGGTTCCCCTTCGAGGGAACTCGAACTGCGTCGGTTACGACACTATGGGAACGCCTCTAGGCGAAGCAGGTCTGAACGTGAATGAAATCACTCCAATCCTATAGGCTTGTTGCTAGAACGGTAAGGTGTGACGGAATAACCGGAGGAGTATAAAGCACACCTGTACACACTCATCATTAGCTTTTTTCTATTCAGCAGGCGCTCTGTATGTTGTTTGAAGAAAGCTCCAGTCCTACAAGCAGTGTGTCTTACATGAAGAAGAAGTCTACCAGCATGTCCGGCAACCAGATGTACAGAAGGTGTGTTTTTTTTCTTGCCCTCGGTACATCACGGATGGAGAGTCTCATGAGATGTGTGTCTCATGTTTGGGGATGGAGCACGCCCGGGCAGCTCTCGAGGGGGCTGCCTGCGCCCATTGCGAAGCCCTTTCCGTGCGGGTACTGAGGTACAGCATGGCTCTCTTTTCCGAGGATGGCCGGATGTGTTTTCCCCGTGGTGTGGGCCCTGCGGCCGCTGGGGTTCACAGCGTGATCTGTCGGAGGATTTCGGGACGGCTGAGGCTTTTTCCCGACCTTCATCCGCTGGCTCCGACGCTTCCTTTCCTCGTTCGGGAGCCCGTTCTCGGCTTCTCCCGCTCGCGGTTTGGATCCGGAGACGCAGCAGCAATCCGACTCCGAGGAGGCGGACGTGCTCAGCGTAGTGGACGATGACTTCTGGGTGTCGGGGTGGCGTCATATGGCGGCGCCCGACTATGACGTGCTGCTGGAGGTGGTGACTAGAGCCGTGGCTAAGCTCAACATCAACTGGCCACAGGAGGAGAGACACCACAGGCTAGTGGTAAGCTTAATGAAAGGTTTCTTAAGCACCACGCACCACCTCCACGCCGGTCTCTGCCATTCTTTCCTGATTTACATGATGAACTGAGTAATCATGGGGCAGACCCTTCTCTACATGGCTTTCCACACCCCGATCACTGAACTAGGGACCGTGGTTATGGGAGGATGCCTCGGGTGGAGGATGCGCTTGCGAGCTATCTCTCCCCTCGACTTGCGTCCTCCCTGGAGGAGCCGGCGTTACCCTCCAGCCATGTTGCACCAAATCTACGCTCGTGGGGAAGGCATACATGGCAGCGGGCCAGGCAGGTGCGAGCTTGCACACAATGGCGGTGATTTAAGCCTACCAAGCCGACCTGCTACAGGAGATGGTTCAGAGGGGGGGCCCCTCTGAGGATGATCTGGCGGAGCTTCGCAGAACCACGGAGTGTTAGACGCAGGGCGAAGCGTTCAGCCAGTACCTCCCTCGCCGGTCTGGACCCAAGGCAGCTGAGGCTGCCAGGTGTAGGTCCCTTCCCTCTACGAGCTCCTACGGAGAGGAGAGGAAGTAGAGTGTCGCTTCTCGGGGGCCCCCCAGGAGCTGGGGCAGCGAGACGGCGCTCTCACCCTCAGCCTTCTGAGAGACGCGATCTGAGGACCGTCATCCAGTCCCGACGGAGCTGAGGGAAGACCGGGGTAGGGGAGTCTTTCTCCCCTCCCGCCCCCAACGCAAAGAAGAGTGTGCTGGTGCCCACCCAACGGACTACGTTCCTAGGGGTTGTATGGGATTCGACAATGATGCGGGCACAATTGTCTCCGGCAAGTGTCGACACCATATTGGCTGCCGTGAAAGGGGTGAAGTTAGGCCACGCCATCACTATAAAACACTTTCAACGAGTGTTGGGTCTCCTGGCGGCTGCGTCCAGTGTAATACCATCTGGACTGCTGCACATGAGACCCCTGCAGTGGTGGCTAAGGACCAAGGGTTTTTCCCCGAGGGGAAATCCTCTCCGTCTGATTTGGGTTACGCGCAAGTGTCTTCGTTCCCTATCAGTTTGGAAGGAAACTTGGTTCCTGTCCCAGGGGCCCGTGCTGGGAGGGTCTTGTCGCCGGCTGGTCATTTCGACATACGCCTCCCTCACGGGCTGGGGCGCGGTCATGGACGGCCGCTTTGCAAGGGGATCCTGGCAGGTGCATCAATCCGAGTGGCATATCAACTGTCTCGAGATGTTGGCGGTGTTCCAGGCTCTAAGGAGTTTCCTGCCCGATCTCCAAGGCCACCACGTCCTGGTTCGTTCCGACAACACAGGGTGGTAGCCTATCTGAATCACCAGGGCGGTCTGCGCTCGCCGCCCTCTGTACAGACTGGCGCGTCAGATCCTCCTGTGGTCCCAGCAGAGGTTACTATCGCTCAGGGCGATGTATCTCCCGGGGACGCATAATCAGGGAGCAGACCTGCTGTCGAGGCAGGGGCTGAGGCCCGGGGAATGGAGACTTCACCCCGAAGTGGTGGAGCTCTTGTGCGAAGAGTTCGGCCCCATAGACGTGGATCTGTTTGCGTCTCAAGAGACTACGCACTGCCCGCTATGGTTTTCTCTCGTTCCTCCAGCCCCGTTGGGTCTGGACGCCATGGTACATTCGTGGCCGAGGCTACGTCTGTACGCTTTTCCCCCGTCGCTCTGCTCCCGGGGGTTCTGGAGCGGGTCCGCCAGGACAATGTCGGCCTACTTCTCGTAGCCCCGTTCTGGCCAACCCGGGTGTGGTTCTCGGACATCATGTCGCTCCTGGACCTAGAGGCGGGTCTAACAGCCGGAGCAGTCGAGACCCTCCTGAGCTCCAGGGCCCCGTCCACACGGAGGATGCATGGCCTGAAGTGGAGCGTTTTCTCCACTTGGTGTAGGGAGCGGTCGGTGGACCCTGTTACCTGCCCGGTGGTTCAGGTACTTGAGTTCCTCCAGGACCGGTTCTCTGCTGGTCTTTCCCCTTCCACCGTCAAGGTGTACGTGGCAGCTATTTCGTCTTTCCACACCCCTCTGAGGGAGGGGTCCTTGGGGAAACTTCCCTTGGTTGTACGTTTCCTCCGTGGTGCCTGGAGGATGAGACCTGCGACTCGGTCCAAGGTTCCCACTTGGGATCTGGCGGTGGTTCTTGGGCTTTGCAGGATGTTTGTTTAGCGGCTGGCTGGGCCACTCCGCACACATTCATTCGGATTTACAGTCTTGACCTTCCTTCGGCACCTGGCACTCGTGCGCTCTCTTCTTAGTCGTGCCACTTTATTGCACACAGGGGCAGGCGGGGTTTTCGGTTTAGTGGGTATCTCGTTCCCATAGTGTCGTAACCGACGCAGTTCGAGTTCCCTCGAAGGGGAACGTCTCGGGTTACGTATGTAACCCTGGTTCCCCGAGAAGGGGAACGAGACACTGCGTCGGCCCGCCGCACCTCTCTCCCCGCCTGAAGCGCCTGCTTCATAGTTTAAGCTAATGATGAGTGTGTACAGGTGTGCTTTATACTCCTCCGGTTATTCCGTCACACCTTACCGTTCTAGCAACAAGCCAATAGGATTGGAGTGATTTCATTCACGTTCAGACCTGCTTCGCCTAGAGGTGTTCCCATAGTGTCGTAACCGACGCAGTGTCTCGTTCCCCTTCTCGGGGAACCAAGGTTACATACGTAACCCGAAACGTTTCCATAAGTTGTGTATTAGCGTTCCTGTGTTTGATCAGGTTTTTCATCAGGAACATGTGTGTGGAGGTTGCCAAGCATTTGAGGAAATAACTGTTTTTTTCTCATGTCAACAAAAAAGATGTTTCACTGCCTTACTTTTTACACAATCCTGGAGATCAGGTACAAGATCAACCCTTCGCATCACATCATGAGTGTCATGATCCTGTCTGTGTGTCTTGTATGAGAGTCTGGGTTTAGTTCCATGTCCTTAGTTCATGTTTTGGTATTCATTCCTGGTCCTTGTTTGCATTATTGTGGTTTGGTCTCCTCTGTACTCTGTGTTCTAGTTCTGTGTTCTCGTTTAGGTTCTGGTTCTTTGTAACTTGTGTGTGTTTCTGTCTTCTTGGTTATTCACTCTGCCCCATGTCTGCTTGTCTAGTGTTCTCTCTGTTTCCCATGCTCTCTGCCTGCCTCGTTAGCCCTGATCTCGCTCACCTGTGTTGCTCCTGCCCCGCTCGTTAGTCCCTGTGTATATGTATGCCTGCCTGTCTCTCCAGTCTTTGTCATGTTTTTGCGTCTTGTTGAGTGTTCCACCTTGCTCCGTTTTCCCTGTTTTGGATTTCTTTGTTTTCGGATTGCCTTGTGTTTCCTGGATTACCTTGTTTGGACTTTTGCTCTGAGCTCCATGTAAGCCTGTTTTTAGTTTTTGAATTAATAAATCCTTTATTTGAACTGCATCCTCCTCTCGCCTTGCCATTGTCTGCATTTGGGTTCTCACCTCAGTCTGCACTCAGCGCCCCGACCCGTGACCGTAGGACGTGACCACACATGAACCCAGTAGATGCAAAAATGGAAAGGGAGAGGTTTCTGGATGTCTTGGCCGAATTGTGGACTATCTGGCAGTTTGCGTCAAGCCGCACATCCCAGCAAGCCGCTCTCACCAGGGCCCACTGGGAGGCAGCCACAAAGCCATGGTTGCGGCGTCAGTTGCCAAGGTGGGCAAAAAGTTTTTTGAACACTAGCACCCCTGCGGCTAGCCCCCAGCCTGTTTCCCGGCCCGCTAGCGCTGCTAGCCCCCAGCTCCTCGGTCCGAGCACCTCAGCCCAGCTGCGCCTCCAGAGCACCCAAGCTTTGGGTGCCATCCTGCTCAGCCCCCAGTGAGTTTGCTGCCTCACTGTTGGCCGTCCTGCCAACCCCTTGAACTCGGCCTGCTAGGCCGTCCCACTGAGTTGTCTGGCCCCCCGGCCCAGTTCTCAGGCCAGCCGCCTGAGGTTCCCCCGTCTGGTCCCCCTGTTCTGCCCGGCCTGCTGAGTCGACCTCTGGGTCGGCCGCCTGAATTTGGGCCCCTGAGACTCGTGTTTTGGGTGTCTTTGCCCTGAGCTCCATGTAAACCTGTTTTAGTTTTAATTAGCTTTAATTGAACTGCATCCTCCTCTCGCCTCGCCATTGTCTGCATTTGGGTCCTCACCTCAGTCTGCATTCAGCGCCCTGACCCGTGACAATGAGGGTCTTTCGTGTTACTGTGATGAAGTTTGACATGTAGTGCAAAATGGAGGCTTTTCCCAATTAATGGATGTTCATTTTCTTCTGAATTCTCAGATTTCTTTCTGAGCCATGGCAAGGGCACTCAGTTTTCGACAATCTGCTTTACCCGAGTTCTGTTTTTCGGGGCTGCTGGTCTTCCTTCATGAGGATGAAATGGGGGGGGGGGGGGTATGTGTTGTTACAAACCATGTGCAGAGTCATATAGGCAAACATTTGGGAAATGAAAAGAAGGTCAACAATACCTCTTGGACTTTCTGTTTGTAGGTTGAATTTTAGACTGTACACAATGCCATGGGAGCATGCAACCAAAGACCATCCACCTGTGGGGGGGGATGTTTTCTGGCTATTACTGATCTTCTTTATGTCACACTTTATTCAAACTTACCAGCGGTATCCCACAATAGAACAATACACATTGCCAACTGCACATGTGCATACGAGGGCTGTTCACTAGAGTGTCTGTATGGAAATATGAAATCTGTGGATAACTCAAAATAAAACAATCTTAACTGTTTGAGTTATATAAAACTCGCTGAATGACCTATTTTGCTAATCATTGTCATTTACTATGGTGGAGTCGAGAGTTAATGTTGTCCAGTGGCTTTGGCCCAGAAGACCCACTGACCTATTCAGCTGAATTATTGTTCAGAAAAGGATTCTGTGTATGCATCTACAAAACCTCACATGCACAGGTATTTTTGTATTGCTTTTATATTTTTATTTTCTTTTGTATTTTTTGAAACATACAGGCATTTTTTATGGTCAATACAAATAATCACAATGTTAGGTGAAAGTACAGATACAGGCGTTGCACAGGGAAAGCACCACATTTATTTTGATAGTTATTAATAACTGTAGTAGCAGTGTGGATAAAATGTATATTCCTTTTACTTTAAAAGCATGAAGACTTCTTCAGACCTGAAATCCTGTTGTTTAAATCAAATAGTGAAGAGCAGAAAACCACTGAAGGTGTTGTAGTTCATGCCATTATCATAGACCACCCTGTTTGCTTGGAGCTGCACATACACGTTGTCTCCCACCTCGAGGGGGATGACCACAGCGTTGCTGCCCATGTCATTGGCATCAGACCCTGTAGTGTCCCAGACAGATGTTAGCCGTTCACTGTTCTTCATGAGGCTCACAACAGAGTTGGATTGACAATCAAGGTTGTTGAACATGGAGAATCGAAAGAAGTACATTTCTTTGACCATTGCTGTGAAAATACCTGCCAAAATGAGGATAATTGTTTAAATTATTTATTTAAAACTTACTTTTTCTCTCTGTGTCTCTTTCTCTCTCTAGTATACACTACCTGTTGAAGGATTGTAGCTATTGCCAGTGTTGGAGAAGACCCTCTTATACTGCAGTGGGGCAGCAGTGGTGAAGGGTCCAATATCTCCAGAGCCAGATTCCCTGAGAGCTGCAGAAAAGGCCACCTGAGGTGTTCTTAAATGCCTTCCATAGACTCCAAGACTATTACTGTAACTCTGCCTCAGACACACTGTATGCCCCACAGTTTAAATAAGTATTTATTGCAGTTTATATCGTGAAATACATTGTCTGCTATCTAGAATATGCCTCCTATCATATCTTTGAACTGTATGAGCTCCCATTGTCTGTGGATGGACCATGTCTCGGTATGCACTGTGACATAACCTTATGTGTATGTCTCTGCACCAACACCACCAGGACTGACTGGACAAATGTGTTGCAATGCTTGTTGCAAAACCAACTGATATTGTTCTTTGTTTGTACTGTGGGCTGTTAAAATGGTCAAAGTTGTTGGTTAAAATTGTCGTTTTCGATGTAAAAATCAGCACAGTTTAACATGAAAACAAACCATCATCTACCAAGTAAAGCTAGTTGTTTTCAGAAGCTGAACAGCTTGATAGGGAGGGGAGGAGGAGCGCTGTAGCCTCAGGTCATTGGTACTGCGCTTACGCAACTGTTCTAGAAAGAATCCCCCCCCCCCCCATACTCTCGCCCAAACACAACAATTAGAGATGTAATCCACTGCACTGAAAATTCTTGCTTGTGTATTGCAGAGTCGCTGGGGTCTATTGCACAATTATCAAAAATAATCACACAAAAAATGTTATATTTATGAAAAGGTAGAGCTATAAATGACACTTGGACATAGATTTACCAAAATAAAAGCTTTTTTATTCCACAGACGAAAAAAAATGCTGTACAAGAAAATGCTCGTTTTTAGTTGTTTACACACTGAGCAGGAGTCACTTGTCTGTACATTATCCCACAGTTTACATAGAAAACATTTGTGTTCAACATGATAATTTGCATCCATGCATTTATTCCTATCCCTAAAATAAATAAATACTGTATGTACAAGAAAGCAAATAATTATCTTGTGGATTATATATGAATAGTTATAAGTATATTCCTAGTGCATGGCAACTCAAGTATAACATATAAGTGAGTGCACAAAGAAGATCCAGTCTCCAGTGTAAGACAAGTGTTGATAGTAGTTAGAGCAGGGTTTGGTTAAAAGTCCCAGTGGATATGAAGGACAGGAGGTCAAAAGGGTCGCCTCATATCGATCGCCTCCTCAATGACGCCACTTGCTGGTTGCTGTAAAGTGTCGCTGCCCGTGACTCAAAGGCACTGACCATCTGCTTAACCACTTCTTCAAAGAACACGCTGGCCAGCTGTGAGTGCAGTAGAGACTTGAACGCAAATGACACCTATAGAAGACACAGGAGGGGGGCAAACATGTAAGCTGTAAACTGTTTGTGAGACTGTTTATTCGATTGTGAGTTGCATTGATTTCTTGTATATTCTATTGAAATCCAACCGTAAAGGAACTTTGGAGCTGGAAAGTGGGTAAAAGGTGAGCCACAGGTCATACACATTCACATTCAGGTCACTTGCAGACCTAGAAGCAGAATGCCCTCTGTCTCTCAGGCAATACTTCATGCTGCTTTCTATCTCTGTGGGTGCACTGCCTAGACAGCCAAGGGCGAGAGATATAGTGATCCTCTTCAGTCTGCTGTTTACAGACTGTCTCCCCTTAGAAGGTAATTCATGTGACCTCTTAATTCATGACCTTAGGTAGGCTTTATATTTTAACATCCAATAAGATGGTTATACATATTTAGGCCAGTAGAGGATGATCTTGTGGGGGGTACATCGTAGACTCTATGGGGACAATAAAGGGACAAATATTGTGGACCAAGAAGGGATCTTCAGATGTGTTTTTGGCATTATCAATTTGTACTGCATGTGCCGTTCTCCTCAGCCTGAGATCCAGTAAATACTGCTGTGTAAGACATTATGAGTTTCCTGAAACCACCTTCATCCATAAGGGTTGACCAACTCACAAGAAGAATTTCCTTCACACCAACCACTTCCTGGCTGACACTAAGGTAAGCTGAACCAACAGTAAGGTCAAACTCATGCAGCTCCTTAACACTGTTCCCTGCCCTGACAGCTATTTCAGGCTTCCAGGAACACCAGCATGCTACTCAAGACTAAATGTAGAGCATAATGAGATTTTACGCAACACTTCCTTTCAGTCAGTAATCCATTCAGGATTCGTACAGGAAGGAAGACATGGAATCAGTCTCTCCTTAAGCAATCTTGTCTATCAGTCTCATGGACGAGTCATTCATTTTACTGATGGATTCACTGTCACTGCTGTTTCATTCCTTTTGTTGTTTAAATTCTATTTTTATTGCAGTATTATACAATTTCCCATTTCTCTATATATCAAATTGCTGTGGGTGCTGCAAAAACCTGCTGTCCTCTTGGCCCTCTTGGTCAGATATTCATTTTATCTTATACACTTACATAAAAATCCACTTTGCAGGAGTCTGGTAGATCTTTGGCTCCAGGGGCAAACCTCCATATTGTTTCAAGATGGCTGAAGAGGGATCCATCAGTACACACAGCCTGTTTTAGAGAGATGACCCGTTATTTATCATTGACTGTCAAAAGGCCATGAGCATAGCCCTGGTCAAAGCCCAGACTAAGGTGTTGTAATCTTTATTCTCTAGAGGAGCACAGAATCAAGAATCAATAATCATGTAGTCTACTAATGCAAACTGTCAGTTTAAGGTATTGTGCATGATGCATACATAATGACAAAAGTAAAATGCATACAAAGAGTGTCATGCTACCAACAGAACAGTGTTTCTAAAGAAATAAGACATTTTTACTGTGAAATAGGATGTTGTAGCAGAGCCAACAGGAAGTTGTGAAAGAAAATTGCAGTTCTTCTAATGCCTGCTCATGCTGGTTCTAAGAAAACTGTACTGATGCCAGTAAGAAAATGCTTCTCTCTTAAAACACAAAGTCAAGATAGTTGTTCCCAAGCATTAATATATTTTTCACTTCCAATGTGTGCTGGTTTGTGGCAACCTGAGCCTCATTTTTGACCATATTAAGGTTTCTTAGCTTCAGTAATTTGCAGCGAGACAGAAATCATAACAGTGGAGATTTTTTAACAAGCACAGGAAGTGTGCTTTGATAAAAAAAATAGTGTATTGTCTGAGAAAATAAGTGGATATTTTTAATAACTGTTATCTGGAGTTACCAAGACAAGGACTTACCCTGACTTGGTGGTTTGGGACAGCGGTGACCTCAGAGGTGTAGCGCTCCACAATGGGGGGGAAACCTATTTCAAGCTCTGCCCGGACGTCACCATTACGTCCCTTCATGACCCGAGACTTCTTGCACCAGGGAACAAATTGCTGGTACTGGTCCACGCTGGCCACAACATTGTACATCTGCTCTGGAGTATACCTGAGTACAGCCACATGAAGACAGAGACACATGCAATGAGATGATATTGCCATTTTAGATTTGTGTGAGTTTGTTTTTCCATTTAATGGTCAGTTTTAAGTTTCTTTTGTAACACTTTTTTAGGTTTACTTCTACACAGTATTTATTTAAATCCTATTTTCATATAAATCATCAAATGGTTGCAGATTAATATTCTGAATGTTGACTAATCAATTCATTGACAGTTTTTTTCAGCTCTATTCCTCTCCAGGCCTCTCCAACCTCTCCATGTATGAAGTTAAGATCAGGTGTTTGATGTTTACATTTATGTAATTTTTCAATTAGCCAAAAAATGTTCCTTTACCATGCACGTGAACAAAACACGTCATTTGATTTAGATTTTAAATGTCTTATTTACTATCACATACACTACTTTCAGTTAAATGTAATATTTTTTAGAGGGTTACTTGTCTCATTTCAGTGGTTTGTTGTTTATTACATCGGGGCACTCACCCTAATGTCCGGCACTCGGTATACTCCATCCTGCGGGTACTCATGGGAGCAGCAAGGTTGATGAAGCTGCGGCTGGGTGTGCTGATGGGGGTGGCGGGGCAGAGAGGCAGGCTAGCCCTTCTCACTGCCAGGACCCCACAGGAGCCCAAGTGTCTGAGGAAAGGAAATAACTATAAATATAAATAAATATATATACACACAAATTAATTTGTGTCACCTGATGGATCAATTTGCATTTTCCTGTGCATATAGTCTGGGTGATCTTAAGAATAACAGTCCCCCACAGTATTTATGTTGTGAATTAACACTGTTTGATGTGTGAGCATAGTATTCATAACACTTTTCTGATCACTGAATTCACTGTATTCATATGTCCCTTCTGCTGATGATCATGCTGACTTTCACATCACATGAGCTATTTTGTCTCACTGAGGAAACTTCTTGACAGTTTATTGAATAAAACAAGTACCACAACAGGGAAAAATGCCTTAACTAGTTGTGCTTCACTCACAAACACTGGACATCTAATTTACATTCCATCCATAATAAACGATCTCCGGATTTTTAAGATAATTAGCCACATTTCAATAACCATGTGGCTGATAAGACTGAATCCAAACAAGCTCTATTGAACTTTCACCTTTTTTTGTCCCATTATCACTCACCTGATATTTGCTCTTTTAGCGTTTCCTCGCACAACTTTTGATGAGTGGGCTTCAGACATCTCCAGCAGCGCCTTAAAGAGGAGAGGAGTCGTTTTGTTGGGCATGGTGAAGTTTATGCGTTAAAACAAATACAGGATCCTAGGAGAAAAGTCTGTATTTTCACCCTGGCAGCAGCAGCAGCAGCAGCAGCAGCAGCAGCAACCAAGCTTTGTTCTGGCTGATTAGGCGCTCCACATGCCCACTAAAGGCCAACAGTGACGTAACGGGAGATTGGCTCTGGCCAATCAAAGAGAAGGGTTGATAAAGTTTAAAAGTGAGATTGATCTCTCTTAGCTGATTCTTGAAGGTGACAGGTAATTCCTAAATGAACAAAATAACCAGTTAAAGATATTCAGAGACTTACAGGTTTTAGTGACTGACGACAGGAAGGTCAAATTAAACTGTTTAACAATAAACTTTTTTAAAGAAGAAAAAAACAGAAGTATAACTATACATAGTGTCAAGACAGACCCATCCATTTTTATGTTGTGATTTTATGTCTTTTTGTAAACTATTCTGTAGCTTGTTTTTATGATTTTTAATGAATGTGTTATTATAAGTTGTACTGTTATCAAGGAATGCAGGTTTACAATAAAACTTTGCGAGGCCATGACTCATGAACAGAATTGAGATTGACATTTTTACTTTTGTTACACAAAAAATAAATGATAAGGAAATCCAAATTTGTTGCCTTATTTGGCTTATTGTAAGCCAGTCTGGCACACTGAGTTCCCAGGATTCTGAGAGGTTTCTAGGAGCAAGCCAAGGTCTATGATAGCCTACTGTGGGGTTTAGCCTGTGAACAACTGAAACAAGGACATGACGCACCAGACTTTGGTGCTACACAGGAATAAAGGTCTACTTTTGATTTAACTTCATTAATGTTTAAAGCAGAGCAGTAACAAACAGCATAGACTAAATAAAAATGTTTAAATGATAGTAGCAAAATTAAATGTGATTTTAATATATTTTACGACAGCCTTTACCTAACTGATCTCCACAATACTAAAGGGGTTGACAACTCTTAGTGCTGATGCATTACGTGGCTGTGGTAACGGCCAGAACTAGTCATGCAGGATCCTCTTCAGGATCTGTAGACTGGAATTAGGGCACTTGATCAGGGAGGGATTTAAGAACCTCAGTCAATCCTGTCAAAGATAGGCCCAACACGTAACTTGGATGTACAGACAAGCTAACCCGTCTCAGGTCATAAGAGAACATACTCATGGGCTGATCCAAGCCCCAGCTTGATCCAAACATTACACAGGAGATGGATGCGGTTCCAGCTGGCTCTCATTCAGTCTTTGATCCCTGAACTTTATACTGTTCAGTGATTCAAAAAAGCCCAACTGAGGCATTAATACTTCTTCCTTAGTGTTACGACCCCCTGTTGGTCTAGGGGAGTGGGGGCCATAAACATATAGGCACAACTGGTATAGATCTTAAAAAGGTAACTTTTATTGGTAACACGGAGATGCAGACAGGTAACAATAAACAAAAGGAGGGTGGATGAGGGTGCTGCAAAAATAACAAACCAAGTTAAAATAAAAAGGTCCTCAAAAGAAGGCCTGTGCCTATCCATCTATTTAAGCAGAGTTGATTCTTGCTACAAAAAGAACACAAAGAGCACAGCACCCACTCCACCTGGTGAAACTAACACAATAGTAAACAAAAATACTAAGTGGTTTACTCCACTGCGCACAATGTAGAGCTAACAAACAAGGTATGCAAATTGTTTCACTAAACACAATGTACAGCCAACAAGCAAGGTATGTGGATTGTTCCACTAAACACAGCTAACAAGCAAAGTATGCAGTCATACCAGCAGCACACAAGTCAATAGGCGGTGACAAGCTGCCTGGAGCAACAGGTGGACTCTCCTTATGAGCAGGAGGTAATCAATGTGGTGACGAGCCATTGGTTGAGTGGAAACAGAGGGAACCAATGGGTGGGACTGATGTCAGCACCCCAGAAACCAGGAAGTAGGCAGGTCTTCATTCCACAGGGACACAGCCTACTTGGTAGAGGTGAGACAGAAAAGGGGAAACACAAAGGTGACAGCCGTGACACTTAGTAACAAGAAGACTCTTCTTAACGTTTTTAGATTTCTACTGAAATATGTACTATAGGTCATTTTTCTTTCTACAATCCTGAATTATGTGACATTAGCTATTAAATCTGAAAAAAGTCTGTTTATGCAATTTCACTGAATATCCGTTTTATTTCACTCATTTTTTAACCCTTATGCCCTACTCAAATTTTGCACCCTCTAGACACCTTCATGGCAAAAATGTGCATGCACAAATAAACTGCTATAAAATCTTTATACATCAATATTTTTTGTCTGCTTTTTTTTCATAAATCTCTTAACAAATGTATTAATCACTCAATTCAGCCAACAAACCAAAGAACTAACAGTGTGCCTATATATGTCACCCAAAGTACAAAATATATAACCATGCAAACCTCTCAGATGAAGACTCACATGGATTCCTGCTAGACTTCAAGGATTACAACAGTTAGGTTAAAACTTTAATCAATTAAGGGGCATTTTAAGGCAAGTGCAGAACACAAAAGATATACAACATGTAAGATAATTCATTCATGTAAAAATCATGAAGATTTTCATTTTGCTGCCAGTGGAGAAACTTATGGAAGCCTGATTTCATACTTTGGAATGAGGAAGTTGTTCCTGTTTGCTTAAAATAGCCAGTCAAACATTACATAAGAAAATTCTTAGAGTGTTTTCCCATTAACAATGTGGTAAAAACCGGTCCAGAAGCACGCCTAGCCCAGTGTGGTAAGAACACTCTCAAAGGACAGGAATGCAATGCTGTCTAAAACACAATCCTTATCAAATGTTTCATCACCAACCAGAAAATGGTCTATTTTTACATTTATATTGTGATAAGGAATGTAACCTTTGATAAGTGACATACAAAATAGAACCATGGAGTCACTCCCTCCTGTGAACTCTATTCACGCCACTCTGAAATTACTGTCCTTTCTGTTTGAGCAACGGTGAAAGAGCAAAATGTTGACTTCTGACCATAAAGTAAAAGAGCAAGTCTGCACAATTTTGTTCCTCAGTTGAGAAAATGATTTTGCTCATAGCACTGATGTACTGCGTGCCATCTGGTTGTGTGATCTTCAGTTTGGTGAGCGGTGGCACTACACCGCTGGTGAAGTATCTGAATGCAGGGCTGGGTGACTGGATGGCATCTAGAAAACCTTGGAGACAAAAACAAACACAAAAGTAGTTAAATGAAGAAATGCTCTTAAATTTACACACTATTTTTGTAAACTTGTGATAAACTATACCTATATCAGGATTCTGATCCTCTACTGAAGAAAAAGCTATATAAAATACACTATTACAAAAAACCTATCAAAATGTTATTCAGGTAAAAATCTAGTAAAAATAAAAGTAGTATGATAGAAAAATGCACTTTAAGTATTATTATTTTTTATTTAAAAAGGGACAGCGTGGAGTGAAACATCAACGTTACCATTTGATGCACTGTACCAGATTATAGCTTCAAGCTAATTCACATCTGCAGTCCCTTGGCAGGTCATGTTTAATAACAATACAATAATAAATACATTTGCTAAGGATTACTAGTTCATTAGAATGCCACCAAGATCACAACATCGCCAAACAGCATCCCAGTCATATCGCGATGTCCTCCAAAACAATCACAACATGACCCTGAGCCACTTCGCTCAGTCCCCACAAATCAACAGCATACAAAGTTACATAAACACACAAGGTTACATAGAAAAAGACACAAGTGAACTACTCAAATGAAACATAAACATTTACCGTACTAAAGTAAAAGTACCATGTGCAGAGTGGCCACATGTTTGTGTGATATTATTATATTATTCAAGTGTAGTTGAATGAGGTGGAGCTGATTCTAATTACTTTATATACTGATGGCTTAATCTATAGCTGTGCATCATATTTTATTGTATTAACTGGCGAATTAACTGTAAATCAAGTCAAGTCAACTTTATTGTCATTCTTAAGTGTTCAAGTATAAAGCTGAACAAAATGTTATTTATTGTGGACCAATGTAAGAATATACAACAATCCACAGCATACTATAATAGACAGAGAAACACAGCCCTCAGACCATTCACATAATACAATGCACAGTAAGTAGTGAATGGTGCAAATACATGTATTGTAAATGTAACAGTTTGCACTTAAGTACAGTAACTAAGTACATGTGCTTAGTTACACTGCACCACTGTCCCATGTAAATACTATGTGGAATTGTGCAAGCTATAAAGGTGTTTAAAGTCATGCACAAAGTGTGACCCACCTCCAGCATGAGAGGCTTCTCCCTGTCCACAGCCAGCAAACATTTTATTTTTAGGTAGCAGACCAAAGAAACTGTTTCAGAGTGGTGTGAAAGGGTTTAACTGTAAACCAGCATTTAAATGTACCTCACACACCCAGAATTGCTTCATGTGTCTCATGCACTTATGATCTCCTGTAGACAACATACCTTTACAATGTCCTCAGTGTCCTGTGCTGCATTTTGGAAAACAGAGTCACAGTGTTGCAGGTATTTTCATAGAGGCTGAGTGTGTGGGTATCAACCTGTTGGAGAGATGCATCCCCGAGCTCTGCTTTCTGCAGGTTGACCAGGAAGTCGGTGTTGACTGGACCACACTCAATGAGACTCACACTATGGGATGAAGTATCAAGTCAACAGTCTCTCCATATTTTCAGTTACTAGATAAAATAGTGTGGGTGTTTTTTTTTTGTTTTTTTTTTCACCCGATAGCCTCTAAACTAAGGAAACTAAGACGCAGATAACTTTAAAACTCACTGTATATTGAAGTGTTGCAGGAGGACAGCCAAACTCTCACATGCTCCCTCTATTGCAAATTTACTGGCACAGTACACCTCATTAAAAGGGACCTGTAAAAAAGCATGAAGTAGAAAGGTTATTTTGGCAATTTCATACAGGGCAGCAAGCATCAGCATGACTTGTTTTTGGGATTTCTGTCCAGTCATTTAAAAAAACTGCACATGTGGAACACTGTAGACATTCAGTGATTCCTCAACCATTTAGTTGTCTCACCATGAAGCCCTCCAGTGCTGCCTGTGACCAGAATGCGGCCCTGGCCTCGAGCTTTCATGTCTGGCAGGAACACCTGGATGGTCTGGATGGTACCTAGAAGGTTGACCTCCGAAATCTGCCTCATCGAGTCCAAGGATTGCACCTCCAGCGGCCCCATCAAACCCACACCAGCATTACACACTGTGAGTAGTGAGTATAAGCCCATGAACACACAAAAATGACGATAATCAAAGCACATTGACACAAGAGCATACCCAGAATGTCCACTCGTTTCTCCACAACCCTGTCCCTCGCATCCAGGATGGACTGCTGTCCTGTCACGTCCATTTGGAGTATGTCCAAGGTATCTCTGTGCAGGCCTTTAACACACTCTAGAAGGCGCTCCTTCTTGGCCAGGTTTCTCATAGTGGCATAGACTAAACAGAAAGCAGCACTTAATTTTTTTTATACAGATGCAAAAAGGAATACACACATTGGACTCAAAAGAAATAGTGGATGGTAATCATAATGCTTTTAAACATTTTGTATTTATACAAATCACATATTGCAGAATATCTCTGGTTGCAGTGTCAATGCAAGTTATTGTTTAGTACAGTATTATATACAGCGCAATACAACATTACATACTATACAGTCTCCATGAACTTTGAACGTCTTTAACATCGACACTTGCTGACTCAGTGCAAGCTCTCTATGAAGACGCCTTAGCACAGGAATACAACAAAGACCATCATTAGTTGATGTCAGCTGTAGTTACCTTTGAAGGATTTGTTGGGGTCAGAGGCTAGCTGGACAGCCAGGCTGAGACCGATTCCCGAGGAGCAGCCTGTGATCAGCACCACCTTTTTGTCCATGGAGCCTGGCTAACTAATGTTCGGCTTCAATACAGAGCAGCGGGACAAAAGAGGATAAGATGAGGCCATGTGAAAACACACATCTCAGTGTTTTCATGTCTTTCGCTATCACAAGGCCAGTTAATCCTAAACATCTTCTCGTTATCCGCCACCTGGAGTCCTCCCATTATTTTCTCATGTCCTTGTTATTATAGTTAAATTTTTCCCATTGAGACATGTGGGAAACATTACTGCTTTTGTGTGTATATGTGTGTGTGCGTGTCTAAACGCTCAGTGATGATAAGTGTAAATTAAATGTATCTTTGGAGATATATACTGAACAAAATCATAAACGCAAACACTTGTTTTTGTCCCCATTCATCGTGAGCTGAACTCAAAGATCTTAGACTTTCTCTATGTACACAAAAGGCCTATTTCTCTCAAATATTGTTCACAAATCTGTCAAAATCTGCGTTAGTGAGCACTTCTCCTTTGCCGAGATAATCCATCCACCTCACAGGTGTGCCTTAGGCTGGCCACAATAAAAGGCCACTGTATTGGGGGTGTCCGGGGTCTGGTCTGAAAACCAGTCAGTATCTGGTGTGACCATCATTTGCCTCATATAGTGCAACACATCTCCTTCACATAGAGTTGATCAGGTTGTTGATTGTGGCCTGTGGAACATTGGTCCACTCCTCTTCAATGGCTGTGTGAAGTTGCAGTCAGGTTGAGACCCTGATGAGGACGACGAGCATGCCGATGAGCTTCCCTGAGAAGGTTCCTGACAGTTTGTGCAGAAATTCTGTGGTAATTGCAAACTTGTTGCACAGCTGTCTGGGTGGCTGGTCTCAGACGATCTTGGAGGTGAAGATGCTGGATGTGGAGGTCCTGGGCTGGTGTGGTTACACGTGGTCGGCGGTTGTGAGGCCAGGTGGATGTACTGCCAAATTCTCTGAAACGCCTTTGGAGACAGCTTATGGTAGTGAAATGAAGATTCAATTCACGGCCAACAGCTCTGGTGGACATTCCTGTAGTCAGCATGCCAATTGCACGCTCCCTCAAAACTTGTGACATGTGTGGCATTGTGCTGTGTAATGGAACTGCACATTTTCGAGTGGCCTTTTATATTGTGGTCAGCCTAAGGTACACCTGTGCATTACCCATGCCATCTGATCAGCATCTTGATATGCCACACCTGTGAGGTGGATGGATTATCTCGGTAAAGGACAAAGGGCTCACTGACACAGATTTTGACAGATTTGTGAACAATATTTGAGAGAAATAGACCTTTTGTGAATACAGAGAAAGTCTTAGATCTTTGAGTTCAGCTCAAGATGAATGGGGGCAAAAACAAAAGTGTTGCGTTTATAATTTTGTTCAGTGTATGTACTAGACTTTCTGTGACCGCTGTGAGTTGGTGCGCCCTGAGTCATTGACCACATCAAGACAATGAAGCTGAGAATAGACAGAAAGGAGCACAATGATTTTGAGTAATGATCTGGAGACCTTGCACCCTTATCCCAGGTTTGTTTTGAGGGAAAGTTTTGTTTTAGGCATGTCTAACAGTGTGTGTAACAGAGTTGTCATTCACTGATGCTTTTCAGTTCTGGTAGTTTTGATTCAGACAAACCATCTGACAACATATAAAATTAAACAAAGTGACAAAGTAATCTCAATTCAAGTTTACATATTCTGAGCTTTTAACCGCATCTAAGCTCTGATAAAGGTAGCAAGTGGACCGTTGAGATTATTTTCCTCACATACTGTTTCCAAGATTAAGAATGAATGTCCATGCTGGAAATGTGTAAATGATTTTAAGACAGAGTCTTGCAAATCAGTGGATTCAGGAGACTTCAGGAGATTCAAGTGCTGAACTAAGATAGTTTTCATTGTCTAAATTAATCTTAATAAGTCCTGTCATCTGTGATCACAAGTGTTTTTATTTAGGCATGTCAAACAAAGGCATTGCAAAGAAAATGTTGTTGCATAGAGAGGAAACTAAGGGGAAACTTGGCCCAAGTAAAAGTAAGACTTTCCAACAAAAACCCAGGTGCAATAGTGTCTATTATTCAGAACAAGTAATCCATCATGCAAGTTCTGAACAGTGACTGGAAAATATTTGTGAGTACAAGAAGTCATCATGTGTATGTGAGTGAGCTTTCACTAGGTGGCGACAGATCCTCAGGTAAAAATGATTCATCTATCAGAGTTTGTGTAAATTTAGTAATTATGAATATAGGATCTATCTATTATAAACTGTAACAAAGAACACTGGACGTGCCATTACATTTTGATAACTTCTTAGGTAAAAGAAGTGTCACTTATCTCAGGCACTGTCATATAGAGTACCCTATATGTATACAGTATGAAATTTTACTTCTTTCTGTTATGATACTTCTTGCATGAAAGTTATTTTGTAGCTTCACTCCAGAGCCAGTATTTATGTTAAAATTGTAAACAAGCCTCATTGTGTTTTCTCACTGGCCTCTGCTATATCTTCCTCTTTTGTTGCTATCTTTATGCATTTAAACTGGTTACCATCTCATTTGCATTCTCCTACAGCTGAACAGTCAAAAGAACTAGCATCTTTATGCAACATTTCAGCAGACTGATTTGAAAAAATTTGTTCTGCTTATGGGCAAACCAAGTGGAATTTCCTGCCATTTTGTTGTGTTCCTCTCCTTGAGATGGCATCAGCTTGGCTGCTGTCCCAGAGTCTGGGGGACAGATAACAGCAGGCCGACCTCTTTCAAATATCCACAACTGCCAAGCATTGTTAAAAGTCTTGAACTGCTTGACCTCAGACGTTAGTGAGTTTTAGCTATTTTACAGTATAAATCCATTTGTTATTTTTATGACATGATTATCTTGTTCAGGGTCATGAGGCTTGAATACACATAGAATACTTTGCCATTATGCATGTCTGCATGTTTCATTTTACTCTTCCTGTGAAGCAGTCCAAGTTCTGAGGCGGCAGTGTGGAAAATGCTTTAACATGAGTGAAAAAACAAATGTCAGTGTCAGTCTCTTCTGTTCTTTGCTCTCTCATTCATGCAACACTCAGAAGTTCTTCTGAATCCATCCTGATAACATGGTACAGTCTGGAAAAACCTTTAGAGTAAACAGACTTTTAAAAACCTTACAGTTGCCCAGGGAAAGAGCAAGGACATCCCATGTGCAACCATGGGTCTCTGGGCAATTTTTGGAGAAAGTAAAGTTTTTGTTAAAAAGGAGACAGCAGGCTGGCCTCATGCTCAAGGGAGAAATACATGTGATGGAGCAGTCATGGATTCTGCACTGTGACTGCAGTGCCAACAGCAAAACAAGTATCTGTTACTACTACAGGAGGAAAAGCAAACAGCTTCCTGGTGTCAGTCCATTCATGTGCTCACCCTGTGGAGGACCCAAGTGAATCACATTGGACTGTGTTATTCTAGGGCAGATACATGTAATGAGTGCACGGTGCTGACACAATACAAGGTTTGTAGCAACACTGGGTGGCTTCAGAAGCAGATGTACATGACAGGATGTCCCATGTGAGAGTGATGAGCAGAAGTGAAACAGCTGAAGATCTGTGCGGTGGATGTGGTGAAGCTGAAATGTCACGCTATACCTGGCAGTAAAGTTTAAATGAGGCAAATTTTACTGAGGGCGTTTCAGCTGAACTGAATAATGCAGAGCTTACATTTCTCAGAGATGTTGTCTCATAAAATAGGTGCAATATAAAATAGTTTAGTGACCTTTGGAAGCTGATAAGATAAAATGTGTTCTAAATTTTGAAAAACAGTGACGTA